TTGTGCAAACCCACGCCCCCAAAAAAAAAAAAAAAAAAAAAAGAAAGAAAAAAAAAGAAAACCTCTCCAAAAAAAAAAGTAGTGTGTTGAATTGATTGCTAAGAATCTGTGACATATACTGTGCTATCATTAGTTGAACTTTGGTCTTGCCTTGTCATGACCTTGAAAATGATATAAAAAAGCAAACTTATTTTCTGAATAGCCCACCGCACTACTGACAAATGGTCCAGTTTCTTTCGGGCTGCGGAGTTCTAATTAGTCTGATAATCATTAGGTTCTGAGATTGAGAGCGGGAACCTGCCACGTCTGACTCTCGGAGTAACCCTCACAAGTGTTTATCCCACCGTGTTCTTCATGGCACCTAAGAAGACTTATTGAGGAGGGAATCGAAACTTCACGCTGACTTGTGAAATCTGTCCTGAAAGATAGCAGCGTTGCGAAAGCGCGCTTTCTGCTCCAACTTCCCATTTCTCAGAATGGCTGCGATCGCTTTGTCCTGACCACCGTCCATGGCAGGCTCTCCATCCCTGCGACTTTACCCGGGGAGAGACCCACAACGGAAAGGGACTCACCAAACTGACACTGCGGCCCGTAGTAGCCGGGGTCACAGCTGCAGGTGTGGTTGTTGACGGTCTCCACACATTCTCCGTGGCCGCTGCATGACCAGGGCTGGCATGACGCTGCGGGGTCAGAAGAGAGGTTATCTCCATGCGGTCACGCTTCGTCCTCACAGCCATCTCTTTAGCATAGATAACTTTCTGCCTGAGACTATTTTAATAAGCAGGAAAGAGTTTGTACACAAGTGATGTTTTACATAAATGCATGCATACATTGTCCATAAAACGTTCCACGGGAAATCGCGATGACGTTTATTTATACGCTGTACTAGCCATGGGCATTTATTTACTTCCTGTAGAATAATTTACCAAACTAGTCACTCAATACTGTTGGGGGGGACTTGGTGGCATTCGCTGAACCTTTGGAATGACTTCGCTTTAATGTAATGAACAGTGAACGATGATCTGACCTCAGTCATCCTGCAATCTGCTTGACAGTCCCTTCTCAGAGAGAGAACTAGTATGAAAATGTGCAGTTTGGGCAAAGGAGACAGTCCAGTTTAGAAGAGACCAAAGGGAGCCTGTGACACTAGACAACTAAAACTAGAAAAGTCTGTCTTGGAATTGTAACAGTTTTCTTTTTCTTTCTCTTTTTTTTTTTTTTTTAGTTTTTTTGCCATAGGGCATGTGCGCTCACCAGACAGACAGAGAAAGACAGAGAGACAGAAAGCGAGAAATCACCCCCCAGGGGGGATGGTCACGCCACAATCCCTTCTCCTCCATTCTCCTCTCAGGATCTTTGGCACGCACGCACACACACCCGGTGTGAGTTTTAAGCCACCGGGTTCGGGACACGAACCACGGTCGACAACGTGGGAGTCCAGCGACATAGCCATTACGCTAACTGCTGGTCCTGGAATTGTAACAGTTTTGACGGAAAGCTCATATACCCATTTCCTCATACCAAACTGAGTAAGCTAGGTCCAGACAGAGCCAGCAAAGCCTCAGCTCCACCACAGGAAGCAGCTGAGCCGGGGCTCCTGCCCCGCGGTCCTTCCCTACGGTTTGTCAGGGCTGGTTGACGGCTGTCCCTGCCCTGCACCGACCATCCCTGGGTCGCTGGACTCAGGCATGCTGGCGGTGTAGAGGCAGTCCTTGGCCTCCCCGCGGGCCCACCTGTGTAGCACAGCACCGACCACCGCTGGGTCGGGGCATGGTGGCGG